CCCCAGTCACTGTTGCACTGGCCGAGAGCTCCATCCCTGCTGTGCTCAGATTTGGGCTCTGGTGAGGTGCTGGCAGCCTGGCTGTGTCCAGCTCTAGCATTCAGCTAAAATCCAAGGGAACAGTACCTGGCTCATGCCTTGCTTGCTGCATCTCCATTTTCTCTGCATTTACCTGTATGTGCAAGTTTCATGTTGTTTGTCTTCTCCACACACCTGAGCTGAGCCCTGGGCTCTCCATCACCCCCAAAATCAGCCTGGGGGGTCAGCAGATTTACACAGGAGCTCTCCCAAGCTGAGCTGGGGTTTCTGAGGCTTTACTGTCCCCTTTGGCTGCCTGTCTCCTGCGTGATATGTGGAGGGGCACATAAAGACTGGAGATTAAAAGAGAAAAAAGTTATGGTTTCTCTGTTGGAATAAATCCAGAGCCAAGTGCTGCTGGTGTGTGGGTGGAGGGCAAGGCCAGGTGGGCCGGAGGAGCCGCGGCACTGAGGGGAGCGGGGCTGCCCTCCCAGCCCCGGGAACGCGGCAGTAATGGAACATAAGTGCTCCTGCAATGGCACTGGATCCGTGGCAGCTGTTTGTTCAATGTTTCATGCTTTTAGCCACATCTGCTCCAAATGAGTGTTAATATTGCAGTGGCATCCACTAAGGATGGGCTCTGTCAGCTCTGCTGAGCATCAGGCTGACCCGGGTGACAAGGAAAGAGCAGTTCAGCCCACAGTGCTCCCTTTCCCTCCACCCCCCTTATCCGTCTCGCCTGGCTCCGCTCCACCAGAATGCCTTCCCTCCCCTCCGAGGGGGGAAAGAAAAGGGAAAACTAAGGCAGTGACTCTCAAGGAGAAAAATTGCATTTATTCCTAGCACCCTGTCCAGCAATGTCAGATAACAGTTTATTCATCCCCTGGCCCCTGTATGACATTGAAGCATATCAACAGTGACAAAAGTATATTGAATAATTATCTTGAAATTAATACATTATCCCAAACTTAAATAAATGTCATCTGATCAATATATCTTGGAATGGAAAGGGAAGAGAATGTGAAGGGCATCGCTTCATTATTCATTAATTTTAGAGTAATGTAGGCAGATGAAATGGTTATTTCAGAGCACTGCTATTATACTCACTGGCATTTTAAATAACTCCCAAGATTTAACAGTATATATTCCCTTGTCGAAGCAGCTTACCCTCGTTAACACTGTGGGTTCCAGAATTCTCTGCTTGACAGTGCTGGAAAAGACCAGAAATAGTACTCTGATCCCATTCTTTTGGGGTTTTTTTCCTTTATTCTTTCTGTTTCTTTTATGGCTTAAGAGATCCAGTTCTACCCTTATCAGTACAGTGTGCACTGGTATCAGTCCAGTTGAAACAGCTGGGCAGGAATGTTGAATTCCTGGGATGGAAGGTGACCCCATTTTATCCATATGTACAGCTCTGGCTGAAAACCAAGCTGTTGGCTGCAATTTTCTCCTTGAGGAGATTGGACAGGGCTAGTGCTCCCCCATGGACGTGGCCTTTCCTCCTTTCAGTGACCATTGCAGAGCTAAAGGGATCCACAGGAGCCAGTCCAGAGTACACATCTGTAGGATAATAAGACCAAGAGTCCACACTGGCAGCTGGTATAAAACTTCTTGTCAGAGTTGAGTTTATTAACTGAGGGACACCCCAGCTGAGAATCCGGCCTGATGGAGCTCCGTGCCTGTGCTGGCAAGTGCGGAGAATGGCTGGGGCATCTTTTGGTAGGAAATCGTGGGTGATCAGGTATGGCAGGGTTGGGATGGCAGAGCCTTACTGATGTGAGAGAAGAAGCCACAAGCCTGCCCTGAATCTGGTTTAGGGCAGTCACCTCTGTGGTAGGTGGTTTGTTTACCTCGTGGAGATCTGTGGAGGGGAATTGCCTCGATCATCCTCCAGCATAATCAACTCCTTGTTTTTCCGAAGCGTCAGTTGATCTTTGGTCTGTCTAAGATAAATCTTAGCTTTGTGTGGAAACACAGAAGAATTTTAATGTCTAGAAAAACATTAAAACAAGGCTTAAAGTTGAGAGAAGCCACTGTGTGTGTGTGTGTGTGTGCGTGTGCTTGTACAGGTGTGTGTGTACCTGCAGGGTGTTGCAAGGACCTGAGTGCTGTACTTAGAGAAACTGAAGGATGTTCCTGTGTGCGGCAGGGGAGAAAATGATTCATTTCTCAGGGGAACAGAATGAGGAAAGAGAGGAAACAATTGCAATAAGCCAGCAAAGCAGGGCCCGAGGTGCTGATAAACTGGAGCCTTTTGGAAACAGGAGGCACACGCAGAGTGTCACCGAGGCGTGCCAGGCCCAGCAGCACAGGGAGCCATTTGAGTGTGTTTCAGGACAGAATACCGAGAAAAAATAGAGTGAGCAGCAGAGCAGGTTACGTCCAAGAGCAGGATGTGTCCTCTGGGTGACTTGGCGGCTCGGCTGATCTGCAGTGTGTGTGGAACAGTGGGCCTGCACCCAGAGCCCTGCTTTGAGAGCCCTTGCTTCGCCTGGCCCTGCCTGGGAGCTGCAGTCAGAGCTGGAACATCTGTGTTTATTTTGCATGACAAACTTGTTCCTGGGCTCTGACAAAACGCGTGCTGGTCTGGGACTGGGGTTTGGGCTCCTTGGCAGGGCTGTGCCGGAGCGCGCGGCTGGCCCTGCACTGCTCTATAATACATATTACATGACTTCATCCATAGTTAATGACAAGTGTGCTATATTTTTAATCTTTATAGCTTTATTGTGTGCAAGTGGTTTTAATAATTGGTGCTGCAGGATGGTTACTCCCCAGAATTACCCTGCAAAATTGCTGTGTTTTCAGCCTTCAGTTGCACAGGTTGTAAATTATAAACTTGGGTAGGAATAAACTTGGCTCCTTCTCCTTGCTCTGTGGAGATGCCAACCTGTAACAGCAAAAAGATACATGCTGGCAAAATTTCCTCCCTGAAGCTCTCCTTGTCCTGTCTCCGCAGCCTGTGTGGGGAAGGAGGCCCCCAGTAGCCCCAGCCTGTGCTTTGTGTGTCAGACTATGAGCAGGAAAACAAGTGCAATGAAGCAGGGATGGTGGTAAGGGACTTGGGGGCTCCATGAACCCCCCAGCCCCTCTAGGGCTTTCCTCGGTCTCCTTCTGATGTGGTGCACAGGCACTGCTGCCAGAATACTGATAAACAAGGCTGGGGGTATCTAAGTGCCTCTGTTGGTGCCCAGAGCCTGCACATCCCTGCTCTGGGGCTCTGGAACTGGGCTGGTGCTGGGTCACAGCCTTGGCACCTTGTGTGGAGTCTATGCTCTGCCATTCTCTCGTCCTGTCCTGCTGCCTGGCTGTTCTGAGGGCTGGGCTTGGGCTGCTGCTTACCAGCACAAGGCAAATACTCTAAACAAGCCTGAGGCAAACAGCACCTTTATTTAAAAAAAAAAAAAAAGGAAACAAAACTGGGCAAAGGTGTTCTGGTGGCTTCCTGCTTCGGCTGGTTTGTGTTGTTTGGCATTTCCCAGCTTTTTCATTTTTGGGCACGTCCCCAACAGGATGATGACAGTGAGCACCTCACCTTCCCTCATGCACTTGGGTGATGAGGGAAGGCTGTGTCCCTCTCCCATGCTGCTGTGGCTCCTGGTTCCCACCCCAGAGAGCTGGGGCCTGGGCACTGGGGCAGCCCCCTCTAGGGCAGCTCTCTGAGCTGAGTGTTTGTGTCCAAAGCCCCATGCACAGGCAGTGCTCAGCATCCCGTGGAGCACTCTAAGGATAGCAAACAAACAGCAGCTCTCCAGAGGCGGCAGCGCTGGGATGGCCTCAGGTAACAGCAGCTCCTTTGATCCCGCTTGTTGCCTTCAGCCTCCAGCTGCCGGCGACGTTCCGCTGCCTCTGAAACCCTGATCACCTGTGGGCAATATCCACCTGCTGCAGTCCTCGGAGCCAGGCAGGGGATGTGAAATGTGCTGCTGGGGTGCCTGCAGGAGTTACTGGAATAGCTGATGATCAGCCTCCAGGAAGCTGGCAGTCAGGGGTGGTGGTGTCAAGGGCCAGGCAGTTCTTCCAGCACCACACAGCCTGCAGAGCCGAGGAGTCCTCGGCTGGGGACAAGCTCAAGTCCTACCAGCCAGCTCTGCTTTAAAACAACACAAAAACCTCCCTTGAATTACTGAGTTTCTTGTTTACGTTATTTTGGCCTGGGATGAAACCGCATCACTGTCAATGACATTTTAAGCCTTACATTGACACAATGAGGTGTTAATAACTGCAGCAAGATGAAAAGACGCAGTTCATAACAAATAAATTACGTAATGATTTTACACTTCCTTCCTTCACCGAGAAACACTGAAGACACATGAAGTTCTTAAGAAAAACATATATCTCTTAACTCCTCAGGTAGTACTGGATGCAAAGAGTTTTCCGCCTGAGCTTTTCAATGCCAATTATTTGCTTTTCGTGCCTCGCTCCATGTGTAGGGATGATAAACTTCTAATTGCGGGGCAGTAACTGGTTTTGCAGGTGGCCGTGCATTTCCGGGGTATCTGTGGATACAAGTGAAGTAAAGCTTTTGGGGAATCTTTATTGTTTGACCCAGTGCTTCAGCAAGTGTTTAACTTGTGTCAGTGGCGCAGGCATGTGTTGAAGTGATTTTAGAATGTGAATGTTAATGAACTGTTGAAAGGTGGGCAGTGGCCATAACCCACCCAGTCTGTTGCTTATTGGTTTTATTAGCCTGGTGCCTGGAGGACGATGAGAGCAGGCCCTCCGCAAACAACACAGTGAGGGGCTCGCTCTGCAGGGCCTTCTGGCTCCGGAACCTGCCATGGCGGAGCGGTGGGAGCAGAGGAGGGGGCTCGAGGAGCTGTGCAAAGAGAATTCCCATTCTGCTCATGGGGGCTCATAATTGATTGTTCTGTTTAGTAGAGGTTAAAGTACGATTACATTTCTCATGGAATGGAAGATTTTTGATCATTAAATGTTTGAGTATTTCCCTGTGGCTTGGCTAACCCTGCACATTCCTTTCACAGGGTGTTGCAGGGCCTTGTATCCCAGTCGCCTCCTCTGGATCTCCAGTGACCGGCACAGCCGCAGCAGGACCTCCCAGGTGACTACTGTGAGGCACAGCCAGAGGTGAAGACAGAGGTAGGAGGTATTCTAGCCTTATTTACACACTAAACACGTTAAAAGCCACACTAACACTGAATAAAGCACACAAATGGGCACACTAACACTGGGTGAAATGCATAAATAGACACACTAACTGAACGAAGCACACAAAGAAATGCAAACATTGTGATTCCAAATGCATTCCGGGACATCCATATTCCTCCAACGGCTGGAAAAGCGATCCTGTTTGAGCAGCGCTGGACTGAGGAAATTAAGGTAAGAGAGTGGGGGATTAAAATAAAAATAAAGCAGCTTTTTTCTGCGCGCGTGCTTTTGTTGTTTCCTTTTGGATGCTGTGATTTCCATTTCACTTTGTGTCTGTTGCCAATTCTGCAGAGCACTGGTTCATTGTGAGCACTTGTCGCAGTGTGTGTAATTTCTAACTGATGGTGTCCAATTAGTTTCAGTTAACATATTTGTGGGCTGCATTCAGATGTGTGGTCAAGACCACCTGATTTGATAAAGACTTTGTGTGGGGTTTAATGTGCCTTGTGGAGCACACTGGGGGTGCTGTGCCCGCACGGCGCTCGCAGCCCTGCTGTGCCACACGCTGTGCTCGGCCGAGATCCGCTCACACTGAGGGCTTTGAGGGAGTTCTCCTCACTAATTAGTCATCCTGTCTGCAACAAATAAGATTATCACTGTTTTTGATTGAAATTTAAAACCCTAATATGACTGTGCTTGATGGAGGGAGAGCAGGTTCAATAATCCTTGTTTCCAGTGTTCAAGTGTTCACTTTCACACAAGCCGTTCCATGTTAGTGCTGTGTGTGCTTGTCTTCCCTGAGACCAATTGCAGTGCCTGTTTTAACCAGTGCTTAGTGGTCCTAGAGCTGGGACCTCCTGTATGACACAGGGGAAGCTTGGAGTCCACATCCTGGCCTCTGTTAGCATTTCTGACAATCCATGTGGGTATGGTGTCTGGGAAATGAAACTCTGGGAAATGTCTTGTGGGAAAGAGCTGCTGCTGTTACTGAGGTACTGATTCTGAAGTGGTGCCCTGAGTGACATGGGAATTGTACAGGTCAGGGCTTCAGTTGCCTCAGTGCTGGGCAGAGGGCAGGTATGGGGTGGGGGCACAGCCTGAGCAGGGCCATTGGGCAGCACCGGGGACAAACCGGGGCTGGTGTGCTGAGCTCACAGCTGGGCTGTGGCAAGTGCTGCCTAAAACACAGGTGTCACGTCTCAACCCTTTTCAAAAGCACAAAGAGACAGGTAAAACTGTATAGGGTCCCTTGTAAAGAGGGGTGTATCAGCTCACCCACAAAGTCAGGAGTGAGGGGAATCTTGCCTCAAATACTAAGACACCACAAAGTGTCATCATTAGAAAGCACGTTTCTCCTCTGGTAGAATGCAAATTAGTTAATAGTTTCTAGCAACCAAAAATGTACTAAAGCATGATTTGAGCAGGAATGAAGCCACCAGCAGTGCTGCCACCTCTTTGACAGCTCTTCTAATCACCATAGCTTTATCAAGAAGTGTTAAGTTGTATTTTTTTATTGATATTTAAGAATAAATTCTTACAACATCATCTCTATAAAAGGTTCATCACAGACCAAATACCGCTCTAACCTTTTAAGCTTCTACAGTAAAAACTGTCGTCTTTATTTATCTAAGTTTGGGAGAGATACAAATGTAATCATAACCCCCAAGGCAAAATTTTATGGCAGTTTTCAGAACTCCTCTCTATAAAAACTACTCAAACCTACCAACATAAAAGCTCCCAATAAAATTTGCTTTAGATCCTAGTCATAAAACATGAATATCTTTCCCTGGTCCTGGAGCTACAGGTGTCCAGTTGTGAGCCCTGGTTGCTTCCGGCTCCCGTGGCAGTGCCAGGCTCCCAGTACCTGCTGGGTCACATGGGTGATGAGGTGGGTGCTGCACCCTGAGCTGTGCCTTGGCTCATCCCAGCACAGTCCAAGGGCACTTGGACTTACGACCAGGCTGGTGGTGAGTGAGGGCACAGGACATGTGGTTAGCCCATGGCTGGACCAATTCTGGTATGATAATGAGAAAAGTCACTGGATATGCAAAGAATCATACGATAAAAATAGCTCGTGGCTGAAGTAGAACATTTCAGACAGGCAGTAATGTAGCATGTGGGATTCTTCTCCCTGTTACTTGGCAGTTTGAACATTGGGGATCTGCACTGGCTTGCAAGACTGGTGGCCCTTTGGTCTTCGGTGACATAGGAATCCATGTGTTAGTGGTTGCTTGAATTAAAGAGTCCTTACTGCATAAGCTGCCTATTTGCATGGACAGTGTTGGCAGCAGGTGGGAAATTCTGTATTTACATTTCAGCTGAGACCCTCAGTCCATACCTGCGTGCTGCGAGGCTGGGTTGGGCTGGAGGGAGCCAGGCTGGCCATGTTCTTGAAATGCACTGCGTGAATAAATCTCTGCAGATTGGGGCTTTACTGGATTCCTGGCAACTAAAGGCACATGCTGTATCAGCCTAGATTAATTTGCTTTTACTATGCAGGGTGGATTTAACCCCCCTACCTTACTCCGGATGGTTTCTGTTGAGAGACTGAGCCTGTTCTTCCAACTGCAATTAGGAGAAAAGTGAACATAGCACAAAGCTGCTGCTGATAAAGGAGAGCAGAGGCAATTCCCAGGTGATGTGTTCTGTGAAATAAAAGCACAGTCGCCTTGTTTGGGGCGCATTCCTCAAAGCATTCCAGAAATGTCATGATAAGTAGGAACAACTTAGTGTAAAACTGTGCTTGGATGGAAGTATTTTTCTAAGGCAAAAGTACTAGGACATTATTTCCTAAAGCCGCTTTCTCCGGGGACTGCAGGAGGCTGGAGGTGGCCCAGAAAGCCTCCAGCTGGCGGCCCACATCTTGTGCTTGCAAGACTTGGCCTTGCTTGTCATTCCAGGCACCCGCCGTGCACTCCGGCTACTCAGTATTTGGGAAAAGTGAAGTAGTTGCTGGTCTCAGCTGATGGTCCTTGTGAGGAGGGTAGGAGCCTACATCCCCTGTCTGTTGGGATGCTTCCTGCACACTGATGCTTCCCAAGGGCTTTTCTGACTCCGTGCGTCCTTCTGTGGAGACGCCATTGGGAGCTCTTGAATTGCTTGGCAGGGACAGTCAGGGAAATGGGGTAGATCCGATAGTTGCATAACATGTGTAGTTAAAGCTGTGATTCATGACAGGACTTTTTTGTTTATCTTAAAGTAGACTTTAATTACTGTTGTGCCTTCCCATTTATATGTGATGTATGGAGCTGGCCCTGGGACCATTCCCAAGCCAGCTGTTAGCACTGTGTTCCTATCTCCCTGTCTCTGCTCCATTGGAGAGTCTGTGTAGTCCTATCTGCTGGATCTGTGGTTATTGGTTAACTCTACATTATGGACACTGTCTGACATGGAAACTTCTCCTCGGTGCCCGTCTGAGTTATCACTTATTTTAGGTCTGGGGGATCTTTCCTATGTTCCAGTTAAAAAGCTACATTTAAGAGTGAACTTTTAGGTGTGTTTGTGAAAAAGATTCAGTGAAAGGAGGCTTTTTCTTAGCTAAAGGACTGAAAAAATGATGCCTTCTCTGGCTGCACGGGCAAAACTGCATGGCAGCCACCAGCTCTTCCTTGCCTTCCTTCTTCCTGGCAGTCCTGAGGGAGCCCAAAGTGCAGGAGTATCCCTTGAGTCCTAAATGGCCTTCAACATCCATGTCCTAATGAAGCAAAGTTAAAAATCTGTACTAAATTAATGAGACTGTTCCTTGCAGTGGCAACCATCCATATACTCCCTCTTATGGCACCTTTTAATTATTGTTACTAATGATAGAGGTTTTGGGTCACTGCTTTCAGAAAGGAGCAAACCATGAAACTTGTTTCTCCCAGAAACAGGCATCCTGAGCTCCTGAGGCACATAGACTCTGAGGGGACAGGAGGCGGAACAGGGTGTTGGCAGGTGCAGTTTGGGGACACAGGGCTGTGCTGACTCTATTGATAAACAGAGCTGTTCATTCCTGATACCTTTTGTACCCATTCCCTCTCACCAACTCCAAAGGCATTTCATTTTCCCTCAGTTTTGGCATGGGATCAGAGGATGGCTCTCAGCCTCTGATCTAAATAAATACTCGTGATTCGAGGCGGTGCTGTTTGCATTGTTTGTTGCTCCTGGCAAAACAAATGTTGATCTTACAGCATGGCCATTAATATTTTGATAAAGTAATGAAGCCACCTGGATTTTGGGCAGAGCCAGGCTGCTGTATGAGGGGCCTGTTAGCTGACAGACCTGGGTGAGGAAACCCAGCAATGGCAGGTGAGTCTGCAGTGGCATTCCCAGCCTGGAAGGTGGGAGTGCAGGCTTGTCATCATCCTGTGTGTCCTGGTCAGGTGCTGCTCAGGGGAGAGCAGTGAGTTCCCAAGCCCATGTGCTCCTGGGCAGAAATAGACCTTAATGGTTTTGGTTTCTCCTGTGAAAATAACCATGTTTGTAGCAGAGTCTGAGGTGGGTGACTCCTTTGGGCATTAATCCTCACAAGATTAGGGGAGGTAGGAAGAAGCTCTTCACAGCCTTCTCTGTGCTTGCACTGAGTGGAGGTTTCCATGTGAGACTTGTGGAGTTGTTGATGGCCTGAGCTCCCCGTATCTCTGCTGTACATGGGACTGTCGGGCACCTTTTGTGAAGGCTTGACAGCATCATCAATACCAGCATTAGAGCTCCTTGTGCAGCTTATGAGGACAGGATGGGTGTGATTGGATGCAGAGCCATGTGAGAAATTGGGCAAGGTCACTGCCATTTTTTTCCTGGCTCTCACAAAGGCCGTGCTTGCTTCCCTGATTCCTCACACAGGGACATGAATTTTTCAGTGCTGCTGCAACTCATTTGACAGGATGAGTAAAGAACTCCTGGGGCTGGCTCTGCCTTCCTGACGGGTTGGGGTGAGTCCAGACAGAACTCCCAGACAGCTGGGGTATCAGGGCAGGGGTGCTGGCATCCCCTCTGAAGGCCCATCTCTGTGG